AACACACGAGTACTGAAAGAAGGATAATTAAAGTTAATCTAAGAAATTGAAATTACATATTCTCTGTTTGAGAGTGTTTGATTCGGGGTCTTTTCTCTATGCCTTCTCTTCCTTTTTATATTCTCTTGATGATTTCTTCATGATAAACCGCTGAGAAACTACTTGATCGCTCTATAACTACCCACTTTTTTCGTGGTGGCTAACTTGTCGCGGAACTGCCATATCTAATTGCTGCCACTACTCTTGGTCGTTCAACCGCCTTCAACTGGGCTATTTGAATTGTGGAATGTGATAAGATTGCTTGATAATAGCTATTCTGGATAACCATAATATCTCATGTTCGCTAAGATCCTGGGCGATTCGAAGGTTTGGACGAGAACAGGGTCATCGCTCTGGGCGACCGTAAGGCACTTCATTCGCCCAGTTTCTGGGCGTCTTGCAAGTTTGAGCGATAATGTTACTGTGTTCGTGGGCTTCCTCTGCATTCACCAATAACCTTATTTGTACTTTTATCCCGGACTCTCCATTGGGCCTCACCCTTTGGGCTGTACTTTTAGTGTGTCAACAATTACCCCCCAATATGGCAGATTTAANTCATCGCTCTGGGCGACCGGAAGGCACTTCATTCGCCCAGTTTCTGGGCGTCTTGCAAGTTTGAGCGATAATGTTACTGTGTTCGGGGGCTCCCACTGCAGTCATCAATAATCTTATTTGTGCCTTTATCTTGGACTCCCCTATTGGGCTTCACTCTTTGGGCTATTTAATTTGGACTGCACTTTTAGTGTGTCAACAGTGTCATTAAGTGCCATTTCCTCTTAAGAGAATTAAAATACATTTTTCATTTGGTCAAGTCAAAGGGCATAATAATATTCTTCATTTAATTGGATTTATTGTGGCTTAATAACATTAATCTATTAGAGAGAAAAAAATATTTATTTTAATTTTTCCAATTAATGACTATTTTTGTTTGAGAAAGTTTTCAGTAAATTATTCCTCCTTATTCTGATGTAAAAAAAATTCAAGTAATTATTTTTTATGCAAATTTTAATAGTGTGAAATTGATTTTAAAAAATTAATCTTTTTGAAAGAATTTAACACGAGAGTTATTTTTCATTTACTGAGATAACTTGAGTCGTGGAGAAATTTTCTGGAAAATGAATCCTTCCAAAATGGTAGGATCTGAAAGCTGTGTGTAGTGTAGTGTTCTTTTCAGGAAAATGTGAAGAAAAAGGTAAAATATCCAATGGTCAAATGATGTGTTCAACATGGAGAGTCAATTTTCAAATATTGTTCAGTTATCCTTGTAACACTATTAACGATTTTTTATCAAATAAAATAAAGTAAGATATATTTGGAACTTAGTAAATAGAACTTTAGTAAATTATACTTGTGAATGAGTATATATTGTGAATAGAAACAAAACAATTTATTTTTTTAATTAAAAAAACGAATTTGATAAAATAGGGTTGTGTAACCTACCTCTAGTCACGGTTTATGGCATGTTTGGGAGAAATTATTTCAACAAGAAAAGGGATTTTTGGACCTTTTTTTCCAAAATTGTGGACCCACTATGACACAACAAAATCAAATATTGTGGGCATAACACTGTAGCAACGGTTGGAATTTTGCTTGAAATCGGAAACAGACGCAGCCTTATATATTAAAAATATATTGTCTACGCTTCTTGATATCGTCATGCTTCGGGTTGTTATGAATTGCAAATGTATTTTTAAGCTCGTGGTCACCATCATTTGCTCGAAATTCTAAAGTTCAGTTCAAGATCCATAATCCATCTCTTGTAAATCTAATACTTCGTTTATGTCTCCATATATATATATATATATATATATATCTTTCTATATACTAAAAGTGTCTATGTAACAGAAAATCTTGTTCCATTCTAACACCGTAAACTTGTGAAACAGGAAAACCGATTTCCACTGTTAGCTTTTAACTGATACCGTGAAGTAGCATTCAATCCACCTGCTGTGCCCATTTGTGTACTGGCTGCTGGAATTCCATTATATAATTATTAATATAAAATATGAGAAGAAATAGTGCCAATGATAAGTGTAACCGTCATTGGCCATTTGCTATTTTTGTTTGTTTGAATTTCATTACTTGAGAAGTCGAAATGTTGTGGAAAAGCTGTGGGAAATTATACACGTTGACTGTAGGCAGGGATACAATTGTGTTGTCCTATACATTGTAATGGCAAGGAACATTATAATAAGTTACAATTAGGAGAAACAATAGTATGATTTGCTCTTGTTTTCCCCGTTTTGTACGTGTTCGGGCGACTGAATTTTTGAATAGTCCGTGCATTGTAATTGAAGCTGCAAGCAGAGAGAAAATATGAGTTGTAAATATGAGGAGGCAGGTTGTAATGACGTGCAATAGAAATTGATAATAAGTATTTTTAATGTAACCTATGACTTATTATTTGTAATAAAAGCAAATGAGACAAGTGATGGATAAATTGGCAAGCAGTGCAGTAATCAGATTAAAAGTCTGAATACCAAGAGGCATATTTCGTAGGGACCCAAGAGGCATTGAATGGGTATAAGAAAACCTATCAATTACTTTCAGTTTATTGGTGGTAACATTTGAAAAGTCAGTGATACATTCTGTTTCTTTTAGTGCATTGGTGGTACAGTTTGAAGGTAGATTGAAAATTGAGTGTCAACATAATTATTTTGTTCATAGTATAAGTCCATGTATGGATTATATATGGTTTTTCAATTTTTCCCGTACTGTCTTTGAAATCAGGTGTGGTGAAGCAGTGCAGTGTTGTATGGTCGTTCATGTTTATCCGTCCTCCGTCTCTCTGAAATCAGGTGTGGTGAATCAGTGCGGTGGTGCAAAGGTTTGAAGCTGCATTTAAAAGGTCGGTGTTACTGCCTTTTGTGTGTTTATATTATGTATGAATGTAGTCTATCTATGCATTACACATGTTTGTTCATATTTGTAAGAAATGAAGTGACCGGTATCGTAAAACTTAGAGATCCATAGAAGTTATTAAAGCACTTGTAAAAAAACTCAAGAAAAAATAAAACGTAGACCCTATAGTGAAGCAGTAACAAGGAGGAAAATGTAAAAGATATGATCCGAAAATCAGGGTCAAGTACTGAGGTAATAAAATGTCAAGAGTACCTGGAGATGTTGCTGAGTATTGAGAACCTTCTTGAATAAGCTCGTTGCTGCACATGGAAGAGGAAAAAGAAATTATCGTCATTGTTGTTCCTATTTCTCTTTCCGGAATACATGCATAAGCATGGTATTTTTCTGCCTTTCTCAAATACCTCAAGATCCAACAAAATAAATAGATATTGCAAGAGAGATAAAGTTTTCCCCCCCTGATCATTCATCCAATAATTCTTCATTTACAAAACTAAAAATATTTAGCTAATGTATAGAAAATGCACACTTGTTATTCCTCTTCTTGAAGATTTACATATAACTCTCCTTTTTGTAATATCGAAGTATATGCAAGGTGCTCTGATAATTTTTGTAGTGTGTTATCTTACCCTTGTAAAACGTTATGGAAGTAAAATACAATAGTGAATGTAGCAGATCATGCATAATGGCTTACTAGAAGACTAAATCAGGATGATGCAATATAAGCAAGGTTAAGTAAGGATATGAAATCCACATCTAGATATAGGCAGAACAGTAAAACTTGTCTGACTAACACTTGCAAAAGAAGCTGAAAGAGTTATTAATAGCAAATAAGTCTTAACTTGGACAAGACAGTTGTGAACAACAAAAATTATTCGAATTCCAGCATTATTTCAGAATTCAATATCGGGAATTTTGCCCCTTTAAGAATTTAAGAAAAGTAAAGGCCCACCTGGTCGTTAAGAAAGTGTGCTGACACAGAATTGAGTGAATAAGAACTTAGTTTATAATCCCTCTGCATTACCTGCACAAGAACCCCAAATTTCAAAAAATGTCACATGCACAAAATTGCTGTCGTGAAGATAACTGTATGAATGAAATCAACAGCAATCATAATTTATCTTTCATTTGGCAGATAGAAAGGAACAAAAAGTCAGATACGAATAAGCTCGGATATATATCTAAAAAATTATTTCCAAGTGAAAAATGAACAAAATCTAATTTTTAACGTTAACAAACCTCAATTTTAACCAATAAAAACTTTAATTTTTGCATAAATAAATCATTTAAAAAACGTGCAGTATAACAAACTTTACCATCAAGTTCATTTCAACTCTAGAAATCAACCGGTACAAATTTGAAATAAGAATGAAAAACAGAACCCTCGAATTACAATTCAGCAAGAGTAGAGAGAAGTGTGGAACTGTAAAATTAAAAATTCAGATAAATAATCAAAACCCAGTTGAGATTTCTACGGGGATTAAAAAGCAGAAATTAAATTGAATTATAATGAAAATTAGAGCAAGAAAGAAAGAGAAATCGACCTGGTGTTGAAGAAGCTGAGATCGATTGTTTTTCTCTTCACCCAAAGCGTTCTTCGGCGGCAACGCCCCACCAATTCCGAATTGCGTCGGGCGATTAGGGCGCGAAAATCCTGAGGAGGCTCCCCCTGAAAAACCCAAGAAATAAAATTAGATATTTAAATGAGAAAAAAAAACAACAAATAACTCATTTATCAAAAGGAAAAAATCGAAATACTTTATCATAAACCTCAAAACATTGAAACAGAGGGAAAAAGAGAGAGATGTAGACGGAAGATGGAGTTGATTTAGAGAGAGAGATCGAGAGAGTGGTGTGGATGGAGAAGAAGGTGAATACGAATTGAAGAGGAGAGGAACTTCTGTGGGCGTAAAACCGGTTTGGGAAAATATCCCTGCCAAGACATCACATCATGCAAGGTGTATAGGAAAAATTGCCCGTTTGAATTGAGAAATTATACATCTGTTTAGTTGGTACCCATTACTCCAATTTCATATAATTTTTTTTCCTTAATAGCCCACTGTCGTTATTTGTTTAATACAGCCACCGATGCATATGTTCCGAACCGTCATAATGCAAACGGTAAATTAGTCGTTAACTCACACGTGTAGGTAAATAACTCATAGGGTGATTATGTTACTACTACAAATTTTAATTACTACCATACATTGTAATCACACCACAATTAAAATATATTTTGAATAAATACACCACAATAAATTTACATGTATGCACATTTTGTAATTTTCCTAATTTAAATGAATTTGAAATATTAAACAGGGAGAAAATAGATAAGTCCAAATTAGTTGAATTCGTCCTACATTATTGTCTTCTAAGTTTTGTTTTTTAATAATCCCATAATTTAGTTAACATGCCATGTTGTCTGTAATATCATTCTTCTCTTTTCATGCTTAAGTGGCCAACAAGTACACATGACTGACAGCCATTAATTCTTTGTAGAGAGATAATGGCTGCCGGGGAGGCAATAATTTTGACATATATGAATGAAAAACCCTGTTTTGTATTTCCGTATTTGTCCAATAGCCATCCATTGATTAGCCTTATCATCAGCCTTCTGAAGTTATACTGATTATTCACTTCCACTCCAACAACGTGGTAACTGACTCATAGCTAAGTAGAATTTGAAGATGGTA